ACATGCTTTTTATTAGAGGCTAAACAGTGGTTTATTACTCTTCGTAAAAACCAAACTATCCAGCTACTAACTGACTCACATCCCTCATAGATACTGCAAAATGGGTTCAAAAGATCAGTTGAAATTTATTGTTTAAAATAGAGATTTTGGTGCATTTTTCAAAATGACTTTTTTACCTGTAAATGAGCTAGTTAAAATAAAATTGCTGTGGTAGCAAAGAAAGCGTGAACACACACAAATCTAATTTAGGGTCTACAAGGAGACTGAGTGACCAGGCTCTCAAGGCGATTTCTTTGCATCGCATTCCTTCTAGGTCAGTGCAAACCTGTTTGATTAACTTAATAACAGTCTCGCAATTAGTTAGAGAATCTTCTTGGTTGAGTAACAGTATGCATTCCAGTCACGATATGGAGCATACATCAAACAAATGTGTGGATTGGTGTCTTTTTCACATAGTTGATTACAAACTAAGGAGTTATTTTCTCGCGTTGTGTATTAGGCGCGTCATTAACAATCGCCAACATTTTTTACGTATCTGTAAATATTTGCGTTTTAAAAAAAAGGGCAAAAATTCAAGGACTGACTCTCATTGAAATTAGTGGTGTTAATCAAAGAGCAGAAAAAAAAGGATACATTTTCTTGTCGGCCCTTTGATCTGAGTGAACACAACCAAATTAAATGATATTGAAAGCCGATTAGCGTGGGGATTGATGGAACAACCTAACCCCACGAAATTATGCCCGGCCACGAGGTGAAACTATCGCAACTTTGAGTGGGTACGAATATGAAAGGAGACATCTTTTGAGAAAATGGACATAAAAGTGGGCAACTAGAGTGTGCCTCTGTGGTTTTATTTATTCAAACAAAAGGTAAATGAGTTCGTGTCCAAAGAATTTTGAAATAAATGTTGCTCTTTTACTTGTGCTGCGCCATCACCAAAAGCACCGAGCTAGGTCTGGCGTCCAACACGCGTCCTCAAGAGGTTTGGTACTTCAAAAAAATAAACAACGTGCGCCTTCCCTGTTGGATTCGGTGATTCCCACGCTTTTCCCATCACAAGGTCACTCTACACAGCTGATAAACACCCTAAAAAGCCGTGCAAATACAAACTTACCGGGGAGGGGGTTAAAATTCGTTATGTTGAATTTAAATTTCGCGCATCCACGGAGAGGTCTCGACAGTTTTGACCGCAGCACCCTTTTGAAAAGAAGCTGGCATTTGCCTACAACTGACATGCGTATTGCTGATGTAGATAATAAACGAGTCTTATGACACTACAAACACACCTGCTAGTTTTTTTAAAACGAAAAGCCTTATTTGAGGCCTGGGTAACAGCAGTTAAACTTAATTGATGTTGAGCTGGTTTGGGTTGAAAAATTTTTGAATGACAAAATATATTTCCAGTCTTTCTTCGCTATAAGTTTACAAAATTTGAGAAATTTTTGTTTAAATACTTCAATAAAAATAATATCATTGGTTTTTACAATGCAAATTCCCAAATAACCCCCCCTCCCAACGCCTGGAGACCATGCGTTCAGGCGGATCGCAACTAATTGCCCACCAACTTGAATCGGCCAAATATTTTGTTGGAGTCCATCTGGGGCTGGATTATAGCATGGGAATAATTCGACATGGTCGAATCAGAATAAATGTGCCAGGTCAAAAAAATTAGCGGCGCCATTGTTGGGCTGCCTTTCAACTTCAGTTTTTCGCGGTTTAAAAGTACGCATGGGGAATGTAAGAAAACCACGTAAATGTGGCTTGTTTAAACTGCTCTTTCACAATTTGCAATATTTTCTTTGTCCAACGTAGAGGTAGGAAGTTACATTTCTAGGTTGGGTAGATTTCAAAATCCCTGTCGTCACGCCTTAGTGAGGCTGTCACTATGTATGGCCTCGCATCGCAACTTGAAAATGGAATCCTGAATTTGCTTAAAATATACCTCACCCTTCTACTCTTTCATTATACAGTGGGATACTCTATTCCGAAGCATCGTTGAATTCACTGGCCTAAATTCTATGGCATCCACGATATCTAATTATTAAAAAATGACATTAATCGTTTACTTGTAATTATTTTACTTTGAAACTGATGTGACACAGGTTCATTCTTTTCCAAGTACTCTCTTTTATTCCGTTACATTGGTAAATGATTCTAATTGTGGTAATAAATGGTTTTTCTGTTTTTTAATGATTTCACAGGCCTTTAAATATTTCAACGCTTTTCTAAACCTATTTTCACTAACGTAAAGGTCGCTTGATTACTTGTTACATTGCAATGTCATTAGAAGGCATTGTGAAATGTTTTTCACCACTGAAGAGGATTACGACTTCAAATCTGATTGCAGCCAAGAGATCGTATTTTATTTCTGGCATCTACGCATTTTTACGTCCCGATATTTAAAAGTAAAATGAGACAGTTCCTTCAAGTTGCTTTTAAGGAGGGAAAAGTATTTGGCCGTAATTTTGCAAACAATGGCTCAGCGCGCATTCCACGAAGCCATTCAGTCACTAACGATTTCAATGTTTCAGGCCGAATACCAGAATGAGGAATGTGAAATAGCGCACTTTAGACAAGTTATGACAATTATGCTTGTCCACTTTTATAAAGGTGGTATTGTTAAAAGAGTAAAAATAACTTAGGTGGAAAAGGTTGACAAGGAAGTGGATTTAACTTAAGTTTTGGACACGATTTAGAATTTCGACATGCACATTTCAAGCAAACTGTATCCAATGAAGTAATTTTGTTGGCCATTGTTTTCTCCTGGCTGTACTGCACTTTTTTAAAAATACCTGTGTATATCAGAAATCAATTACCTAAATGGCATTTACACAGAACGATATTTGTTTCAAGCCAATGCACCAGTCGAAAATTTTGGACAAGCGATTGCCTCCTTGGAAATGCCCACTTTCGACAATAAATATATAGGCAGTGTCAAAAGGGCATGAATCCACTGTGCATAGTGATACAGGTAACACGGCTATTCATCGAGGTAGGCAGACCGGGGTAAAAATCATAGGCTTTTCAGACTACCACTTTAGTCATCAATTCATTGGAGTCTAAGTTAAAAATGGCATCCTTAAATACTTGGGATGATGGATTTGGGTTTCTAGAAAGTAAGAGGATGTTTTTGACTTTTACTGAAACCGGCAGTGCATAGCACGATTATTTGTTCAAATCCAATATCTGGTATTGTAGACTTAAGATAACCGGTTTCAATCTTCTTTATGTGCAGCAAAGGGATATTAGTTCTGTAAATAAAGTCAATAATTGCCATTGGAATCATATTATACTACAACGATCAAGGTGTTAAAATAGCGAATCTTCTGTCCACAGAGAACCGTCAGCCGCTTAAATCCAGTACTAATTTATCGGAAGTTGTCTTAGTCATAGCCTTAAAGTGAATTTTAAGCACATCGGAATGAATTGGAGCATTGGTTAGTTAAATAAAAACTAAGTACAAAGCTAGCAGATGGTCAGGTCCAGGGAGATGGATTAAACAACTCTTGTGTAGTGCGCATGTGCCTTGCTTAGTGGGGTTCAAATTTTGATAACGAAATAACTTTAACACTGACACGGTCGAATTTCAAGACGCGAACAAATTTCACATCGGTTGAAGCACATGCAGTACCTTGGGACGCAGGAACAAGACTGCCATTAGGCTGATGTGGGAAGGCTTTCCGGAGTGCTTCATCTTTCCCACAAGGGAACATCCTCAGTTGTACCATGCGGATAGGTTTTGGAAAGAAGCTTTCCAAAATATGCTAACAATGATAACCAATGCGCGATCACCCGTAATATCTTCTGGATTGTTTTGCTTGACTTGAGACTTTGTATGTGTACGGAAAAGTCACAGTCCAATTCTACCGCAGTAGTAGTTCTTGAACCGACTCACAGAAATCAATCAATAAATTTTACCCAAGTTGTTTGAATGGATACGTTGTTCTGATTATCTGTAGTGATAATTTAATGTATGTGTACGCTTAGTGAGAAAAAAAGATGGCATTAGCAGAGATTTAGGAGGGTAAAGCATTTTGCAGATTGAAGGAAATGTTTGCTATAACACCCTCAAACACTATTTTAGTATACACTTGCCATCGTGACAAGAACGCAAAGCACCAAATCCAGTAAAACAAGATACCAGTTTGAACCCTTCAATTCAGGTGTGTTAGAAAAGTTGCATTTAAATTAATTCCCTATTAATTAAGGGAAAGCCGAATTGATGGTGTGAGTCTTCTTTCTCCTGATTCAACTAACTGCGGGTTAGTGAACTGAGAAATTGCATAGCAGTCAGGAAATTGACTCCGACAATATTGTTTTAAATGCAAATCTTTTAAATTAAGATAATATTTAAACAATTTACTAGTGGTAAGTTGTCTGAACAGAGATCTGGACATGATGCCAGACCATGAACGGAAGCGAATACGACGAAACGATTCACTGGTAATTTTGTTAACTTTGTAAACCAAGTCCTCGAAGGCGACGAAGTTACTTAACCAACCACCCTGAGTGCTGGTCGTTCTTGTTATCAGCCAAGTGGTGTAGGGCGCTTCACAGCCTTTCATGGACTTCTGTTACGAATTTAAGTTAAAAATCAGCAGACTCAGCTTCCAGCATTTTTCGACGGACGCTTTCAGAATGCGTGAATATCACAACATTGATTCTAATAACGTTTATTCTATTCAAAATTCAGGGCAGGTTGATAGTTTAGAAGAGTTAAGCACATCCGCTTGAAGGAGAATAGAGTGAAGAGCCGTGTACACAGGTCCTAAAGTTGGTAGGAATGAACCAAAGGAAAGCAAACAAGGCGACAAGGTGGATTACATAGCGGGGATTTTGTGTGTACATTGAGAGAGCGAGAGAGAGAGATAAGTCTCGAACCGTGGGGAGACTGGTCCGTGAAGCGGGAAAGGAAAACCAAGAGAGGTATATACGCAGTGAAACAAAATTGCAGATCACCGTTAAGGGGGTGTGAGTGGCAGACAGGTGTCATCAACGTTTCATGTGAGGACTAAAAGTTGGAGGAGGACTAGAAGGGAGGCGGTGAGTAGTACGGTCAGTCGATTCGCTCCATCATCCCTGCCGTGTACATAGGGCTGATCGGTTGTCGTGGGGAAGACAGATGTCTGGAACTCGGGCTCAGTGGTCGTGGCTTCGCCGGGAACACACATGTTGTTCTCACACAGTTCATATCCAATGGGGCAAGCTGAGCAGGCTTTGCCCGACTTAAAAGGAGCGTCTGCTGTGATATCAGCCCTACAAAATTTGAATTAGATTTACTTTATAAAAGGAGCTTTATGAACCCCCTCAAATCACTGCATAATGCATTTTTGCTTCCAAATCACTTGGACTGCGGCGGATTCAATAAATCGGTGCCTTCTGCCTGATCGTAACACACCTCAAGTTGGTGCATTTTTGCCAAAAAAAGTAACTCTTTTGCAAGGGAATGTTTGACGCCAGGATTCACACACATAATGACGCAAATTCTCTGAATTTTTTCGCAAAAAAGGAATTTAATAAGTTAAAAACGACTTCTTCAATATTTGTTGCATAACTTGGCCAGTTTTAGCTTGTTACTTATGATCAGCAAGGCCTTTAATAAGTCTTAGGGTGCACACAAAGGAAGGCCTATATTCCAAAAATAAATTAACACTAATCACAATGACTAGTTTTAACCAGATTATATTGGAACGTTTCTTTGAAAATTAGCAGATACACCATAGATGATATATGCAACCTTTGGATATCCTCTAGGATACGGTTTTTTTGGATTTCGTAACGACGTTTAAACACCTATATCTCTTTAGTTTTAATTATACCGGAGAATCGCTACAAAACATGTAGTTTCTTGGTTGGGTTTTTTGGCTTCCCAAACTCGATTACAAAACTCCGGTAAATGCTATTGAAGTTTATTCCCAAGCCATAAGAAAGATCATCGATAAATTGTCCCCAATTTTTTTAACTGAATGAATTTGGGTGATTAGGGCGTTTACGCAGCCAGTGATCAAAGCAAGATGTAATAAACATGACAGTAAAATCAACGCAACGTTTAGTTCAAAAATTAGAGCTCTAAGGGTCCTCAATATCAAGCAAAAATTGTGCGTGGCGTGTACCTGGAGTCGTAGATGCAAACCATGACTGATCGATCCTCGCAGACAGTTATTGAGCAGCCAACTTCAGAAGCAATGGACCACACTATCTAAAAGGATGAAACACATGTCTACTTGGGCCTTCACAAGTAACTTTAAATAATTTAAAGTCACTGAATTCTCTCATCTCCATTTGATAATGAAATAGTGAATCAAAAGTCCGTACGTGCATCTGCATCTTCACAAGCCCAACATATGTGAACTGCTAAAATGTCGGGCACACTGTCGTTGCTTCATTCACTCTCAAAGACCTGTCATACGGAAGGGGTCCTTCACAAAGAACCCGGACCACCTTTATGCTTTCAAAGTTGCGCGTTTTCCTGAGCCAAATGGAGGGCATAGATGCGTGCGTCCACGCGAGGCGCTTATCGTTTTTCGGAAAAAAAGTGCACGAACGGGCGCACGAAGCGCTGTGCTTTGCAAGTTAATGCATAGTTCTGACAGATTGAGTTTTTGTGGGCTGCAAAAATGTACCATGCTGCGCACAACCTTGTAGGAGTATTTTTTTGTACCGAGTTTCACGCAGAGAAGGTCGAATGTGTGAAGCCATGAGTCAGGATTGCTAGTCATCTCTACCGCAAGGCCAAACCCTGGCGCTTTGGACATGGTTTTTCAAAAAAGTCACGTTAACCACGCGAGCTTTCGGCTGGACCGCTCTTATGGCCTAGGGCGTGGAATTTTGTGGGTGTTCAAGTCAGAATTAGAGTACTTGACCTTTTGGGAGCACAAAAAATAGCATCATAGAAGCTTTCCTTGCCCGACCCACGAAAGTCTTCGAGTTGTTGTCGTATTTCTGTTCGGACACGTTATTCTTGGGAAATGCACCGGCATAGGTATGAATAGGAATCAGTCCCATTACAGTGTAATCACCTGGATGAGTTTTTGGTATGGGATTATCCTCCTTAATTTGCAAAGGAGTGATTCAGGTGGACAGCCCTTGGCTTAAGGACTGAATTCGTGAGACTTGGGATTATTTTGACAGATTTAAACGAATTACTCTCGTGTAAATCCATAAAATCAATAAATGCACATAGTTCACGCATTTATTTACCCCCTTAAATGCACAAGTTGGGTGAAACAATCGCCAGGACGTCATGATTTTACATTATTGCTATTACATAAACAAATGAAACAAACATTCCTTTCCCACACCTTTGACCAACTGCGTAAACAATAAGGGCGTGTAAACTAAGGGGGGCATTTTCATAGCTTTCAATAAATTTGGGACTGAAGGCTACTGTTAATGAACAACCAAAAACGTGCACTCCCAAGGTCAGCCAATAAATTTACAACTCATTGCAACGGAGCGGGATTCGGAAAGTCGATTTTAAGTTTTTGCGCTGGTATAAATATCGACGAAATGCATTAAATATTAATTTAGCGTGGTATTTGAACGAGGACATTAATACACCGACATGGCTTAGGAATTACTCCTAAATTATTCAAGTTAATAGAATATGTGGGCCGAGCAATTTAGTGAGATGTACCAGTGATTTAGAAAAAATCTTGTTAATGTAGGAGTATTTGTTAACGAAACTCTCCAAATCCAGAAATTCGCGCAAAATACCTGCCACCAGGAGTCGCAGCCTTGGTTTGGGCACCCCCCGTTAGGGTAGTAGTAAGACCGCTCGAAACCCCACTTATCGATTATGGAAGTCTGAATATCCTCCACGTAACCTTCTTGCACTGGAGCTGGGTAGGGCGCAGAACCCAGGTTAGCTCCGAAATCCTTCAATTCCGGTAGCGACCGAACTTCCTCGACTCGTTCCGGACACGTTTCAACTATAGACTTGGCTAGTCTTTCCAGGTTCGTGCTCCATGTCTGAGAAGGGAAGAGAAAACTTACCAACATTTACAGGTCAGTAATAAAAAACTGACAGGTACCCTGGTAAATTTAGAAATAAAGTAAAGCATTCCATTGTCAAAATGCCAATTTAAAAAAAAAACTTTGTGCTTTCGCCCTCGATAGGGTAGCCAGTGTTGTCAAACGTAAAACCTTGAGATATGCCGGTTCAAAAACACACCTTTTAACGTAGCATTTATCCGTTTACACACAATAGTTGATTTTTGTTTACTCACTTATCAAACCACCAAGTTTAGTTAAGTTTGAGACCCGTCACCACTTCCGGTCATAAAACACCAATGTTCTGCCGTAAATACGCCGTAAATATGTTAACCAACAAGGCAAGGCTGTCTGCGTGTGATTTGATTCTAATCTTTTACTATAGGTTATCTGAAATTACGAATAAAATACAGGGTGAGTATCTAATGCCTGGCACGAAATAACGCAAAATGAGATGCTCTTTTATCGATTGTTTCGCTTGGGTGCATTTAAGAATCGATAAGTTTTAAGGCTGAAGTATGTTTTAATCAGCCCACTATAAATTATCACAAGTTTCGGTAAGCTGCATTTTTTAAAAACCACTCAAACTAACAACTTTTTGTCAGATCAGGTAATTATTTTTTAGGCCTCGGTCATGATGAGTTATTTGGAATTTAGCCACTCAATTGTGACTTGAATCAAGCAATTTACCTAGTACTTAACGATATTCAACTTTTTTTGTCATCTTAGTACTATTAACTTGTGCGACCGGCCACTCTTAAAAGTAAACATGGGGAAGTTTTGACAAAGTTACGAGAATTTGGACTGCTTTATTAAAAAAAATACCTCTGCTTTTACTGATGGCGAATAATAAAATAATTGTAAGTCTAAATCATCACATTAGGACCAAAGTATAATTTTGTATATAAAACACCACATAAATTCTTGATTGCCGTTAGCAATTTATCGAGCTGCAAAATTCTAGACGTTTCAGATAAATGGACAAATTTTCTCGATAGTTACACACTTTTCAATGGCATTTTTTGAGTGGGAGCCCAAGTAGTGACTTTTGCAAATTATAAGCTTTGCGTACACAGAGATAGTTTGTCCATTGGAGTCACATAAGTAGGAAAACAAAACATTTAAACAAATAGTTTTTTTGGAAATGTTAATCAAATTCATGTTCAGTATACTTCCAAATGCAGAACAACTCAAAAATCGCTCGAAGTTTGATTAACACCTATGCCTTCTGATTTAATTCCAAGCAGTTATTTTAATGCGAAAAATATTTGTAATCACGTCATTATCAATTTTATCTTAGTGCCCTGTCAATTACATAAAGAATTCTTTGAGATGAATCGAAATTAATTTTCCGTTTGCTGTAAAAGTTGCATATTAGAAAACAGGGTATTATCAAGCTGTACTAGTATAACAAAGCGGCTGCTAAAATCAATCAAACAAACAAGTTCAAGATATCGGCTACTGAAGTATGAAGTCGCAAAATACTGTGGGTATTCATATTTGCAACATTACACTTGCCATTATAAAGGCTGTTTAATGGCGCATATTTACTAAAATGGCGTTCACGGGTGCACGAAAAGGCAGATTTAAAGATAAAGCGATAATCTACACAGGGAAATTGGGACATTGGGCTGTGGCAGTAGAAACGACAAAGAGTAAAAGCGCAATTTTTTTCTACAGTGCCTACCAACTTCTTCATATCCGCAGCCTGTGTCAAACTTCTGTATTGTTGGTGCCTCGTCACGATGCGCATGGCGTCCAGTTCTTCTGCCAGCACAACTCGAAGTAAAAGTATAATTCCTGCGAAAACAACTCCGTAGGCTCCTGCTTTCTTGATCATTTTGACCTTTAGCAAATAAACCAAATCATGTAATCCAGCAAGAGGAAATAAGAGCAACTTGTGGTAACAATTGTAGACAGTTTTCGTGGAACGGCAAATATGCGTAAGTTTGAGACCATTAATTACCTGCTCAGACCCAAGGTATGTCCACACAATTGCATTTCTTTTTAAATAAACCCTTGGGCCTGAGTAAACGAAATAACGTTGAACAATAAATTGTCAAGGTAAAAAGACACAAGTTATCAGTGTTTAAGTCATGTTTAACAATGCCGGACAGATATCACATTAACAGAAATTTAACCAACTATCAATTGCGACTCGCATTAACGCATGCAAGAGGGACCACGTAGTCAATACGCTAGGTTGAAACTGTTAGAACAATTAATGGAATTTACGCATGTTTTCAATAAATTTGCCTTTAAAAACCAAAAAAATGTTATTTGATTGGTTGAAATTGCGAAGTAAAAATGTTATTGGGCATTTTGAAGCTGACGACAGGCACAAGCAAAAAGTCTTAACAAATCAGATCATTTAATGGGTAAATATAGCAGCAGTGCCCTTTCCGAAAATTTTCTGTTGTGTGCCAAAAAAAGTGAAGTGCCTCCGATGGAAGGCTCGAATCGACGCTGCAAACGCACACAAATCCTATCGGCACTGACGGTGTAAGCACATTATGATAACGTGGAAATTTGTTCCATCGTCTAAATTACCGCAACATAGCAAAAGGAAATCACGTAATACGAAAACAACGCAGTGAGGACAAGTTTAGAAGGCAAAATATTGATGTGTCACAATGGTTGAGGCTGTGTTACTTAAAATAACTCGTTCGCTTTGCACAAAAGTACCCCAATGTCGGCAAGCCACTTACCCGCCACCTGGACAGTGAAAAATCGACAAGTTAACCACGGTACAAAGGTTTAGTTGCTGGTCAGATCTGTGCCACGGACAACTATGCATATGCCAATAAATCCCCAATTGTGATTGGTTGCAGCGTACATCTCTAGCAGCCCATTGGACGGTTTTTTGGTGGAAAATGCGAGGGTTTAAAGTAAGTGTAGCCACTAGTCTCCAGAATGGGAAACGGCGCTTGCTGCAGTTGAGATGTATTTTTTACTAATGCATGTGTAAGGCTGAACAAGAGGTGAAGTGATGCACTGATTCCTAACTAGACACCCAGGCTATGCCTTCGGAAAAGTCATCTCACGATTGGTAAGCCCCGTGGCCGTGCTGGTAATACATATTCGTACGAGAAGAATGAGGTAGTGAATTGCAGAAAAGGGGAGATTTGCCATAAGGATTTTCCTCTAGAAGAGAAGTGGAGGCCGAAACGGGAATGTGGTTAAAGTGACGGTACATAACAACCCCACGCACATCGCTGCTGACGGATGCAGAAGAGCAGTTAATTGGTCGGTAAAAAATGCATCTCATTTTATTAAGCCAAAGGGAAAAGTTTTCTTTTTACTCGTGTAAAGTAGGTTTAAGTGCTTCCATTTAGTGATCTCGAAAGCTACTGCCCAATTGTCACCTTATAATCATTTTTATTGTCTGACAGTTAATTTCGTGCGTCATGATTCAGCACTGCCTTAAAAATGTTTAAAAATTATTCATGTGCAGAGTTGTAATTAAAAAATGGAATAAATGTTGCATTCCCGCCATTTTTCAATCAGTCAAATGTAAGAACCACGGCGACAAATATTCAACCTGCTCTTTGGACAGGTAATAATTGGATAAATTGGTTTATAAGTAGTGACTCGAATTTAAGCCATTAAAATGTGCCAGGCATCGATAATGGTTTAGTTTGTTGTGGTCTTGAACCAAACCGGGGCCACGGAATTAACTCTGGCCCGATTACATTTCCCTGATGCCCATGATAAACAAAAAAGATCGGGGAGGACGGGGACACAACCGTTTACTTCAGAGTCCCACCGCGTAGATGTCGTTGTGTTGTGTGTGGGGTTTGCGTGTGTGCATTTATACCTCGGATGTGTGAGTCATACATGCGCTAACATCGAGACCTAGGTGTGAGGATAATCCACATATCAGTGTGAATGAGGGGGGGTTTGAGGATCCGCGCGACTGGCGACATGTTGCGAAAAGGGGAACCCTGTGTCGGAGGTGGAGCGACTGGATTATGGGGTGTGAATAAACACGATATACAACAAATCCATAATTTAGTGAGTAATAATAATGACCCACTGAGCGCCAGGCGACAATTGCCCTGCATTTGGTCAGATTTAAAGCTGCTTGGACGCACGTTTATGTGGAACAAACTAATCCGAATTCCCACTGCCATTTCCCTCCTTGATCTTCAGCTAAACTAAACATTCTTGAATCAAGTCATTATTGGAAATAATTAGTTTTGTGTATAGCAAAATATGAAGGAAAGAGCAGAATCTTTGACACAGGCTGGATTTCCTCATCTCCTGTATCCAATGGGAGGGTTCCAGAGAATTTTTTAGGAGTTTCCTATACATGACCGTGATAATGTATTATACTTAATTTAAAGTCATATCAGGCATGAGATTTTGTTAACGCCCGAGAAGGTTAGAATTTATTTCCCAGCGGTAGTTAGTGCGGAGAGACCAACGATAACGACTTCTTCAAGGCCGCTAAATTGGCCAATGACGGTTCGCCTTTCCCTGCGAAAGGGAAACCTCGAGTTTTCTGAGAAGGTCACGTGCTCTGATCGGTATCCAAGACAAGCGGGAAAAGCTAACTTGAAAAGTGGTCTTAGTGATTAAACTAATCACTGGGGCAGGTGGCTTGTGTAGACCAAACACTAGTTGTGAACGGGATTCCACAAAGTTGAAATTTCAAATCTCAAAAAAGAAAACGGCCTTCATTGGATGCCGCGGATGCTAGACCACGACCTTGACAGAAAAGTAACTGGCCTTGGGGATAACGCTGGAGCCCTTTGGGGCTTGCCACGGAATAGTCAATGAAATCTGGGAGTCCTGAATCAGAGGAAAGGAAATTTATGTAGCCAAGCTAATCAAGTAGATTCTTTAAGAAACTAAAAAATTTGGTCGAGAAGGGACCCGACTGCGGATTAACAAGTGTGGCTGTGTCCACTCAGATAGACAGAAGCCTATCACTTACTGCCGATAACTTGACAGGTTCGTGGCTAAGAGTGGCATTTAAACATTGACAATTTGGTACCGATGCGCTGTCAGATGATAGACACTTCAAAAAAAGCCAACTCGTTTGGAGTATTGAAAGTCGTTGTTGTTAAGATGTGTAAGAGAACATCTCCCTAAATAAAAGAAACAAATTAGTTCCAATTCCTTTCTAGAAACAATTAACTCGACTGAGGCAAATGAGAAAACAGCCTATCACTTTTCTGTAATTCGTGCAATGCAGAGACTAAGATTATTGTGTATTTGCTTTGGAACCGATCATTTTAATAAAGTGCCTTACAAATTTTAGTAAATCTTACACGGTAATACAAAGCTCTGATATCTGCATGCATTTGATTAGCATGGCCTCACCTTACTTTACCACCAGAGTAGCCCATTCTTCTAAATTTGGGGAACCAAGAAGAATACCAGTAATTTGTTAAACTTTAAAGAAGTTTTTTAGTGCCATGACCAATGGAACTAAAATGGAAGTGGAACATGATAAAACTATGCGTAGAATCTATCAATACCAAAAAAGTAACTTCCGCAAGACGGGTTTCGGAGCTTGAAAATAGCATTAGTCTTTGGTGACGGAGTTGGTGATCTTGTCGTATGCCTGCAAGCGTGAAATAACGGCTTTCCACATTTTGTTTCATTTTGGCCTGCCACACCTTTTTGCATACTATTTTTATACTGACCAAGTGCAGTGAAATTCATGCTTTTTTCGATGCTATAAGCATTTATGCTCAGGCAAAGGGCCGAAGCGGATAAATATGTCACTTTTTAAGTTGGAAAGGAAAGACGAAGAACGCACTGACGGTGTTCGAAGCTCGAAGCATGAAATATGCTGCTGGTTTGACTGAAACCATCAGCCTAGAAGCTGTTGTTTTGCCTGCAGTCCATGTCAGCAAATTAGCTTTGACACTAGCGCAATGTTATTGGATGTAGAAACAGTGAATGATGGCGGGTATAGACAGAAAAGGCTTTTTAACTTGGCACCATCGGTTAACCATTTCTCGATCGAAGAACAACATTTATCAGTTGTATTGAATATCATATCTTTACCATGGTGAAGTACAGATGTGGGTCCGAGTTCCACATCGGACGACCGACTTGGTGGGATCGTTGCGGCTCGATACGAGACGCGAGGTGCCCAGGAATGAATAAGACCACGGGATGTGGGAACAGAACAGCACATTAAAGCACATAGACAGTTATCGTGAGACACGTTTGCTTAATGGGTATTTACAGGCCTATGACAACGGCGTAGCAGCATCAGAGGTTTGTGGGAGTCTGAGGGTGTACGCACAGGTGCGGAGTCAAGTGGCTCAGCAGAGGATGAGGGGGGTGAATGATTGCTGAAGCTGGTCATGTGTGAACCGTACGGGTAGTTCTGATTTTGCGGGATCTGCCACAAGAGAAACACATCACACACAAAGCCACGGCCGCTCTTTCTGAATCTAAATAACCGCTGCAAATGTCACGTGATACTAGTGTTTTGGGTCATTTTCAATTATTGCAATACCGGGGTTTCGCAGGTTCGACGAATTTATGTTGGACTAAAGTTCCCCAAAGTCGTGTTTACAAATATTAATAATCATTCGATAAACTCGGGCACCAAGTCATTTACATTTGTCGATGTGACAATGGATTTTACACGCACCAGCCAGCAAATGTGCACTAAATGTGGTATTTGCAATGTCGTCCAACTTCAAAATTAAGACTTGCTTGAAACTTTACGAACTTAGAGCTTAATTTATCGACACTTTCGCAAAGTATAGGCCAGCTCATTCGTGCACACATACGACCTACTGATTGCTTTTTTAACAAATATGCTGTAACTTTATGATCCTAGTATAAATTAGAGTAAAAATCTACTCTGCT